GAACAAGTAATTCTAAATGGTGGAGTTGGCATGAGTTAAGACACAGTGGCAAAGAAGAAGCTGTCCTTCTTGTTGAGAATGTGGAAACTGTGTTTCCCACTCACCACACAAATTCTAAAGTTTCTCTAGTACAGCTTACTGAATCATTTTAAGATAAATTTTCATAAATATTTATTATATATATATTTATGTGTTTATGTGTGTATGTATGTAAGTAGTATGAGCTTGTACCTGTAGATTTCAGAAGTGGGTATTGTTGGATTCCTGGAAATGAAGTTACAAGCCATTGTGAGCCAACCAACATGGGTGCTAGGAATCAAACTGTGGTCCTCTGCAAGACCAGTCAGGAATCTCTCTTCACTACTGTGCCATTTCTTCAGCCCTGAAATTTACTGTAAATAAGAACAAAATCTAATGAATTGAAGCAGTATGTAAGTTATATATTTAAATGAGTTATTAGCATTCTATATCTGAGTGTTTTTTTCTGCATATATGCTTACAACAAGAGTGAATAAGATCCAGTTATAGGTAGCTATAAGCTACCATGTGCTTGCTAGGCCTTGAAATCAGGACCTCTAGAAGAGCAAAGCACTCAGGACATGTAACCGCTGAACACCTCTCCAGCCCAACCAATTAGTTTTTTGGGTTTTTTGTTTTGTTTTGTTTCGTTTTGTTTTTGTTTTTTTGCATACCAGGATTATATTTGTGACCTTCTTGCTAGATAAGCCCATCTGCCTGTTCTCTGGGCTCTACCACTGTAACCATTGTCGTTCCTATTATTAAGCAGTGCATTCCTTACTACATAAATAACTAGGATAATTTTACTTCATTTACTTGTCCTAATTTTTATGAGAACCAAGTTATTGATGAGAAGTAATATGTTTTATAATTCATATATTTGAAAATCAAGAAACATAAAGCTTCACTAAATTTTCCCCAAAGTAAACACAAACTAAAAAGAATAATTTGTACTCAAGCTGACTTGAGGTCTCTACATTCAAATTATTATATACTTATTGAGTAAACCTTTGTACTCAGAGGACTTTGGTTTCTGGCACAAACTCAGCAAGTTGACTACTGCAGCTGGCAATGAGATTGAGATGCCTCAGTGTAAAGGATGCTCAGCAGTCTTGTTTCCTACCTCATTTTTCATGAGCAGCTATTTCTTCTAGCAGCCTGACCTGTTACTGGTTCTCTCATGTGATTCCTAACTTTCCCTCCTTAATTAATTCATAAACAGTGTAATAATAAGACCTGAGTTTTGACTTACATTGGAATGTGAGTTACTTGGAGCTAAAATTACCGAAGTTCCTAGCCCTTGGCACTGATCTTTGGCTGAGTGATACTTACCAGGAAGTTGAGAAGTTCTGAAATCAGTTTCCAGAACTTACATTTAAAAATCGCAGTGTAGGAGCCTACAATTGTAACTTCCAGACTAGTCAGGAGAAGACAAGTTAATCTCCAGGACTTACTAGCTAGGCAGCATAGCTTTCTCTGGGCAATGAGAGACCCTGACTCAAGTAAAGCGAGGTGTATGACCTCTCACAAAGATGCCTGGTGATGAACTCTGGCCTTTATACTCATACACATAAACATACACACAAATAATGATACACAAGAGAAAAACGTTTAATGCTAAGGCCACAGAGACTATGAGGTTCTTTTGTGAACACACAAACATGCCCACATGCAGAGAGACTAACATCACTGCCCTTCTTAGGTACTTCTTTTTTATTTTTATTTTTTCTTCACCATTTATTCATTATATATCCTAATTGAAGCCCCCTCCCTCAACTCACCCAATCCCACCCTCCCTCACGCTTACCCTCATCTCCTTCTCCCAGTCCACTAAAATGGGTACTTCTCCACTATTGCCATCTGCTTTTAGCTTGCTAAGTCTCATCAGGACTGCCTGGATCCTCTTCCTCCATCGAACTGTTGAGGCTCCATCATCAGGAGCAAGTGACCAGAGAGCAGTCAACTTTGTTCATAATAGAGGCAGCCCCTGATTCCCTCACTCAGAGATCCACATGGAGTCTGAGCTGCCAATAGGACACATTTGGAGCAGGGGTCTAGGTCCTCTCCATTCACTGTCCTCCTTTGGTGCATCAGTCTTTGCAGGACCCCATGAGCTCAGAACTTTTAGTTTTGTTGGTCTCCTTGTACCCTCCATGTCCCTCACTCCCACCCTTCTCTTCCTCCATAAGACTCTCTGGGCAGCATCTGCTTAGATCCACTGTTGGGTGAATCTATAATACTTTCCCATTTGTTTCCTTGCTTCCACCATTTCTGGTGTCTATCCTGTTTTCCCTTCTGAATGAGAATTAAACATCTTCCCTAGTATCCTCCTTGTTGTTTAGCTTCATTAAGACTATAGATTTTAGTATGTTTATCTCATATTATATGTCTAATATCCTCTTATAAGTGAGTATACAACATGTGTCTTTCTCCTTCTCCTTCTGACATATTTGAGACTCATAAGCCTAGAGTTCTGAAAGTCAACCTCACTCAGGATGACCTTTTCTAGTTCCATCCATTTACCTTCTAATTTCTTGATTTCCTTGTTTTTAATTGCTGAGTAATATTCCAGTGTGTAGATGTACCACAATTTCTGTATCCATTCCTCCGTTGAGGGACATGTAGGTTGTTTCCAGATTCTGGCTATTTCAAATAAAGCTGCTATTAACATAGTGAAAAAATATTCTTACTGAATGGTAAGGCATCTTTTGTGTGTACTCTTCAGGAGTAGAATAGCTGGATTTTGAGGTACTGCTATTCCTGATTTTCTGAGACAGTGTCGGGTTGATTTCCAAAGTGGATGTGCAAGTTTGCAAATCCAAGAACACATAAAAGATATCATCCACTATGACTCAAGTAGGCTTCATCCCAGATATGCACGGGTGGTTCGGTATACAGAAATCCATCAATTTAATCCACCATATAAACAAACTAAAAGAAAAAAAAAACACCACATGATCATCTCTTTAGATGCTGGAAAAACATTTAATAAAGTTCAACCCTCGTTCATGTCTAAAGTCCTGGAGATATCAGGGATACAAGGCACTTTCCTAAATATAATAAAGATAATACACAACAAGCCTATATGGAGAGAAATTAAAATCAATCCCCTTGAAATCAGGACAAGGCAAGGTTGCCTTTTCTCTCCATATCTCTTCTACAAATAGTTCTTGAAATCCTTGTTAGAGCAATAAGACAGTTAAAGTAGAGCAAGGGGATTCAAATTGAAAAGAAGGAAGTCAAGCAAGTGTCATTGTTTGCAGATGATATAATATACATGAGTCACTCCAAAAATTCTACCAGGGAACTTCTACAGCTGATAAACACCTTCAGCAAAGTAGCTACTTCTTATAGGAGAGGTAATTGTACCTTTTTTTTTTTCCTTTTCCTTCTGGATGACCGTGTTTTGTTGCTTCTTAAATATAAGAACTTTGATATTGTGCAATCTCTTTCAAGTTGCATCATTTTTTTATTGATTTGAATTTTTTACAATTTGTTCACTTTGTATCCCTGCTTGTAGCCTTCTCCTTCATCTCCTCCCAGTCCTGCCCACCCTTCCTGTTCTCCCCCTTCTCCTCTCCCCTAGTCCACATGCATGTGGTTTACATGTATGTCAGGTGCACACAGAGACCAGATGTTGGGTGCCCCAAAATGGGAGTTAGAGACAGTGTGAACTGTCATGTGAGAGCTAGGAATAGAACCCAGATCATTGGAAAGAACAACCTTACCATTGATTCATGTCTGCTGACCTAACCTATCTCCTATTCTCCTCTTTGAAATTATATTTTACTGACTTGATGTTGCACAGTGAAAAGCATGCCCTGCCATATCTGAGACATTTAGTCCACAGGAATCAATTGCAAACAGAACTGACATATTTGAGAATCATAAGCCTAGAGTTCTGAAAGTCAATTGACCAGCTCATCTTTACCTGGTTGGGAACAATGTAAAGCTTAGTAATGTAATTCCACTGACATAGACATACCAAAGGCAGAGAACTGATAAAATGTAGAAAGTCATTTACTTCAGTACTTAGCCTCTGGATCATTCTCTAGCTCAGACACAAAATCTGGGTGCTATATATTGCCAGTGAAGAGTCAATAAGCTTAAACCAGCTTTTCAGGTGTTTCCAGAACTTCTTGATTGGCCATTAACACATGAAAGTAGAAATGTGCTTGATTTTAATGACTCCATTAGTGATATCTCTTATGATAAAAGTCATGCATTCATTGGTGCTGATCTTATGACCAAGACAGGTCTGACTCGCTGAAGGTAAATGATGTTATTAATGACTATGAACACAGAAAAATAGGAAGACGGAGTCTAGGCTTTAATGTGGGTGCAAGATTCTCAGATGAGACCTGTTCATTATATCTGTTTTGACACTGTTCCCATGGATTTAGGTCTCAAAGCAGTAGGGTGACAGTGCATAAGGATGGGAATGATGTATTTAAAGGACCAAAGACTACTGATGGCATTTGAACTCTTCTGTTTGATACCATTGTTACAGTTAGACAATGTAGCACTGCTACAGTTAGAGATGATACCCCTGTGGCAGGTATAGAAAAGGCAGAGGTGGGGTCCACATATTTCTGACTCTTAGGCACACAAGTAGAAGAAAATTCGGTATTGCTCACATACTGTCTTTCAAACCAACCATATTTTGTACATTGTGCATTTCATGTATACTCTTGTTCTCTTCCAAATACCCCATTATACTCCTGATTGTTCCTCATACTCAATTCATACTCACTTGTATCATATTCACCTTCTGTATAGAGTACATACATGTTTAATTGAATTTGAATTTAGTTCAGAAGAGACAAAGAATTCTTTTTCGGAAACACTTCCATGTACCAAGGTGCATCTCTCCATTCACACTGTCATGCAGACATCTCCCCAAGTCCATTGATTGCAAGTTGACCATCCCTTGACACACGGACACAGGCACACTCAACTGTGACTATTGAAATGTCTTTCAGTTTGTGAAGAAGTACGGAAACATAATTAGCCTGGACTTTGGTAACATCTCCTCAGTGGTCATAACTGGACTGCCCTTAATCAAAGAGGCTTTCACTCACATGGAACAAAACTTTTGGAAACGCCCAGTTTTACCTAGCAGGGAACGTGTCTTTAAAAATAGTGGTAAGTTTCATTGGCAGCACTATTGACTTCAGTATGTTATTTAAACAAGATATGAATTTGTGTGGAAAATAGGACATATGTTTGGAAAGGTTCCATGGAGGCCTGGAAGAAGGGAGTGGAAAAAGGATATGATCAAGATTATAACATATCAGTGGAATTTTCAAAAGTGAAAAAGGTACAGGTAATATTAAATTTCTGACAAAATATAAAGGGAATAATATATGGTTGGTTTGAAAAATATAAGGAGACTTAGGATGACAGGTACACAACAGAGGAATGAAAACAAAAACAACATTTTAAGTTATAAAAGAAGGAGTGTGAACACTCAAGGTGACAAAAAATGACAGTAGGCTAGACTGGGGTGGTGACATGAAAACCCCATGGACTGAAGTCATTTAAGAGAGAAACCACCTGTGTAGGTGACTTAGGTCCAGTCCAACCACAGTCCTAAGTTGGTGCTTCAGAATCTACAAGCCCCTCTAGAGTCTGGTTAGTTGGCTCTTTTGGTCTTCTTGTTGTCTTCCTGTCCCGTCCAGGTCCTTCTTTCTTCCACCCCCACATATACTTTTCCACAAGACTCCCTACACTTTGCCCAATGTTTGGCTGTGTGTCTCAGCATCTCTATTAATCTGATGCTGGTTGGAGTCTCTCTGAAGACAGCTATGCTAGGTGAGGAATAGCTTGAGATTCATGTGGGTTCCCTAACAAGAGATTGAAGAACTGTGTATGACTTGGGCTCTGTGTCTGATTTCTTACCACACATACCCTTTCCCCGGCAGGGATGCCTAGTCATACTGCAAGAGAAGAGAATAAGTTCAGTCCTGATGTGACTTGACATACTGTGGTGGGTTGTTGGGGGTTTTATGTTTTCTGAAGTGTAGGGGACTGAGGAAAGGGGGAAGAGGAAGAGAGGGTGAGACTGGGAGGAGAAGAAGGGGGTAAAATCAGAATATAAAGTCAATGAACAAATACATATTTAAAAAAAACAATAAAACAAGAAGCCATCATGGCCTATGACTCAGATACCTGCAAAATGGGGATATCAGGGACCTATCACAGGGATGGGTGATGCTTTAGAACCAGAAATACTTGAATTTGAACCCCTAAAGGTGAACAACATGTTGTCTTTCATTTTACTTTTCAAATTGTTATCATGCCTCAGCATTTTACCAACTGAAATGGACATTTTTGTAGTTGGTAGTAAACATATGGAGTTCCTGTCAGAACAAAATTATATAATGGAAAGGAAGTACTTACTAAATTATGTGCTGTTGCAAATCACCAAAACATGTTAGTCACTTGCTTTGGATCATATTTAGAAGCTGTGAATTTCCATACCTGCCCTTCATTTCATCTGCATGTGGGTCTAATACAGTTTTCAGGTATTTTACAGTCAGAATCTCAATACCATAATATTAAATCTTTTTTTTCTTTCCAGGAATTGCCTTCTCCAGTGGACAGACATGGAAGGAGCAAAGACGGTTTGCACTGATGATGCTCAAGAACTTCGGATTGGGGAAGAAGAGCTTAGAGCAGCGCATAAAGGAGGAGGCCTTCTACCTTGTGGAGGCCATAGGAGAGGAAGAAGGTGGGCATTTCACAGGGTGGTGCAGGGTGCTCTGGCCATTTTGTTCATTGAACAGATTCTTATTGTCTCAAGCTTGTCCTTGTGCCTCAGTGTTCTGGGCACTGAGGACTGAAGAGTAAATATCTAGCAATATACCTGGCGCAGGAGTTCTACAGCTAAACACAAAAATGGGTCTTTTAACAGGTTCCTGAACAAAAAGCCTGGTTATCTATGTGACAAATATTGACCAAGTCCTTGAATCATGCCAAGCCCCATGTAGGAGGCTGTGGCCCCAGCTTTTCATATTATACTTTATTATGCATATTTTATATCACACAGCGTTGAAATATTTAAATAGGAAAAATTAATAAAGATAAAGAAAGAGAGAGAAAGAAGAAAGACAGAGAAAGAAAAGAAAGAGAAAAAACAAACCAATATCTTTGAAAGACTCTTTCCTCCCCATCTCCACCTCCAGGACAGCCTTTTGACCCTCACTTGAAGTTGAAAAATGCATTTTCCAACATCATTTGCTCCATCACTTTTGGAGAGCGCTTTGAGTATGAGGATGGTCAGTTTCAGGAGCTGCTGAAGTTAGCAGATGAGACAGTATGTTTGGAGGCATCAATGATGTTAATGGTAAACTCCCTGCCTTTGCACATTTTGGAAAGAATATTGGATTGGGAATGGGCAAAAACAAGGTTT